GTGGTAAGCGTGGATTAGGTTAGGTTAGGTTTAGATTAAGTTTATGTTAGGTTAAATTAAGTTTAGGTTAGATTTAGAGGCTAGAGATTAAGTTTAGGTTAGGTTTAGAGTAAAAAGTTTGCTAACTGGCATCGAAAGAAAGAGTGGTAAGCGAGGATTAGGTTAGGTTAGGTTTAGATTAAGTTTATGTCAGGTTAGATTAAGAGGCTAGAGATTAAGTTTAGGTTAGGTTTAGATTAAGTTTTCCAGTCCCGATTCCAAAAAATTGGCGGAGACAAGCAACGAGTCAGTTATGAGGGCACTGTATCATCAAGAGAAATTATCATCGGCCATTTTGGTTTAGTTGTAGTGTTAGCGTTAATCGGCCGTGAAGAGTTCGCGGCTAAGCCGACGAGCCACGAACGACGAGTCGAAATAATTCGCAATTTCCAGCGGCGATTACGAGTCGGCGTTGGTGCTGTATCACAGAGCCGGCAACTTGTATCCGAGGGACAGCAGTCACGGTGCTGCGGCCAGGAGGACCGTCGCCACGATAAGCTGCTGCAATAATCCGGCGAAAGCTCTGCGCAACTTTTCATCCTGCTCCTCCGGGGAACGACTAACGATCGCCTTGTGCCCCGAAACCGCCGCCATCACCGCGAACCAGCGGCTCAACAAGTCGCCCGAGCCTGCCTCCATCCACCAAGTACTCGCGTATGTTTTTTCCCTTCTCGCACACTCTTTTTCTCCTTCCTTTTGTCTTGTTATATTATCGCATCGAGTAACGACGATATCGTGGAATTATCTCGCGAATGATCGACCTCCGAGGCCAATATGTGACATGGTTGTGCTTCAAAGCCAGCGAAGTTGTAATCCAAATCCTGGTGAAATTGAAATATAAATTTCAAGATGAAACAGTCGGAATAAATGTTGATATAAAATTGACATCTCCTCCTCCTATGAGGTCAAGAAAATTTCGATCAAATAATAATGTATGTAGCAATTGCCCCTGCTAATACTGATAATGATAAAATTAACAAAATTGATCAATGAAAATAAATTAACTTGATCGTAATTTGAAGGAAAAATTTTTTGTACTATAAAGATAATTTTATATGATAAAATTTAATGATTCTAAATTAGATGAAATTCCAGTCGTATTAGGTTAGATTTAGGTTAGGAATTTCTACAACATTTTTACTTCTTTTTTTTTTATTTAGGCTTTCTGGAAACCTCGTTCGAGGTTTATTACAGCTATAGAACCAACTGAAATGAAAGATAAGCTTTATACATCAAGGTTACTGTCTTCGAAACGTAATAGCAGGCCGGGATATCTGGTTTAGGTTAGGTTTAGGTCGAGTGACAATTGTTACGTCGACTTTTAGGGATAAGAATAATTTGTATTTGCTGAGAAAGTTTAATCCTTCGAGGGTCGTGGAAGCTGCATTGTCACAATATAGAATCGAGGTCTTCGAGTTTATGGCCACATCTACATCCAAGATCGCAAACAATACCAATACGTACGAAACAAGGAAGCTGTAATAATTAACTCTTGATACGATTTACCGTAGAGATAAATTCTCTATTAAAGTTTTTAAAAGCAAATCAAGGAGTCGAGCTTTCGGTGTAGAATTGGCCAAAGAGTATAACGTGGATCTTGTTTTCGTCTCAAAAAATTTGTCGAGTGACAATTTCAAGAGTGTGAAAAAAAATTTCTTGATTATTCAAGAAACAGAGAGACGTTCTAAGTTCTAACAGCGACTTTATGATTCTGGACTTGTGAGTTCTAACAGCGACTTTATGATTCTGGACGTGTGAGTTCTAACAGCGACTTCATAGTTCTGAACGCGTGAGTACTAACAGCGACTTTATGGTTCTGGACGCGCGAGTTTTAACAGCGACTTTATGGTTCTGGACTTGTGAGTTCTAACAGCGACTTTATGGTTCTGGACGCGCGAGTTCTAACAGCGACTTTATGATTCTGGACGCGCG